GATTTAACATATTTACAATATTAAATCTTCCAATTTATGAACACATAATGTTTCTCTATTTGGTTGGGTCTTTAGTGATTTCTCTAAATAATATATTTTATATTTTTCCATAAAATTCTTACACTTTATTATTATATTTATTCTGAAGCACTTGATATTTTGTTATGTTAATTACATGTTATACTTTCTTTAATTTCATTGTAATACTCTTTGTTGCTGCAGAAACAGAGTTAGTTTTTGTATATCGGTCTTATACCAAGCAACCTTTAAAATTTTTTATTGAATAGTTTATCTTTAGTTCATTTGGGTTTTCTTCACACACCAGCTAATTATCTGCTAATTATATGAGCTGTGTTTTCTATTTTTTCAGTCTCTATTCCATTGATCTCTTCTGATTCCCATTAACATACTATGTTGAGTTTTTATTAAATTGTTGAATAGCAATGGTTACAGCAGGCATCCTAGTCTACTTCCCAATTTTTACATAAAAGCTAACATTTTCATATTAAATATGACATTTACTGTAGTATTTTTTGTTTTGGTAGATATCTTTATCTAGTCAAATAACATATCTTCCTTATCAAGAATGAATGCTGATTTTTTACAAAATAATTTTCTGTATCAATTCAGATAGGATTTTTTCATTTAATCTGTCAATGTCAATGTGGTATGCCAGTTCTGAATCTATTTGCCCTCAGGTCCATTCTTCATCCTTCTTCTACTCTAATCTCTATTATACATGGGCTGGACCAATAAATCTTAGGCTCTCCAACATTTGGCTTCCATCTTATTTCACGTAAGAGGAGGCACCAATAGGAGGTTACAGCCCAGGAAGAAAGAAACCACCAGAGTTTTTCTTCTTTTCCCTCTTTGAATCAGGTGGTTTCTCCTTTAATGGTTACATCTTCTCCATAGCTCTAGCTTCCATCATATTAGTCCACCATGTTTCTAGATCTTGTTGACCTCAACTCCTAGGCTTCAGTAACAAATACTACCTCTTCTTTTTGTCCCTCCAGCCTAAAGATAGGACATCCCCAAGTTTCTAAGTGTTAGGTTTCCTGACCCTTCCCTGTGTGTCTCTTCCATCCCCTGAACAACCAACTTATTACATTAAAATTCCTTCTGGGTTAAATATATAGAGACATTTCTGTTTCTGTGGATAGTTTTCTACTGTTACTTGTTTTCAATTATATTTATTGTTTTCCTAACATATTACATATAAAGAAGTATTCAAGTTGTAAAATTTTAAAGCATACACATAAACCTCTAAAACACTACCTGTGAGATACAGCTGAAATGGTATTATTAAGAGGGATGATTACAGCCTTAAATAGATGATTTACAAAACAAGGAATATTCAAAACATGCAAGCAATTCAGGAAGGTAGAGAGTGAACAGCATATTAAACCTAAAGAGGTAGATGGTAGGAAATAATGAAGATCAATACAGAAATAAGGAAGTAGAAAAGAGTAAAGCCAACTAACCAAAGCCAGTTCTTGGAAAAATTTTATAAAATACACAATTTTTGAAAGTATTATCAATTACAAAAAAACAAAGTAGAAATGAGTTATGTTAAATAAGATTGTACAAAATCTTATTTAGGTGCAGAAGAGATTTAATATAAGAGAGCACCATAAATATATTTTATCATTACCTAAGGGTAGCCAAATATTGGACTAGGAAGGAAAGGGTCTACTTATGGAAGTATTTCAGCTAATAAACTTGAAAGGAATGATATAATTAGAGAATTACTGTCCAGCAGCCCCAATAAATTAATGGATAGAAGTGATAATCATCAACACTGCCAATATGAGCACAAATGTAGACACACAAACATTATGTTCATCCTAATGGAAGTACACATCATCACTTTTTGAGTGGTTTTGCTAGTAAACAGGCAAAAACTCAATAAATCTTAATCTGATCCAACTTTTAACTCTATTGATGATTGCTGATGCTCAGTTTCGAGTATATTGTGTTCATTATACTCTTCTCTGTACTGTCGTATACTCTTGATACTTTTTCTAGTGAAAGTTTTTTATTTATATATTTATTTACATATTTATTTGTTTATTTATTTGATAAATATCATATCTTTAAATTGGAAATTCCAAGCTAAATGGACCAATTTTGGGAGAGATTTAATTGACCAAATTCTTCCAAACAGCAATAGAAAACTTCAATTGAACTATACAAACTGAAACTTTAGCCTAAGCTCCAGCTCTCCTCAAAATATCCCAGAACCAGACAGGTTTAGAGGCCAGTTTCACCAAATTTTCAGGGAAAAACTAATTGCCATCTTAGGTAAACTCTTCCAAACCATGCAAAAACATGGGAAATTATGAAACACATTTTAATAGGTGTGTTGACCTTGATACAAAGACCAAATAACTACACTACAAGAAAAGATTGTTTGAGTCAAGCTCACTCATATCATGGCATCTATCCTAGATAAATTCATATTATGTCCAATGTAGCTGTGAATCAGTAGGCTGTGTCCAAAAAATACAATGATGATATAACATTAGAAAAAACTGCCAATTAGAATTTCTCTAAGTTGATACATTAGAGGAGAAAAGGCATTTGATAATTTCCAGGAGTGCAGAAAAAGCATTTAACAAAAAATATTTAACACTCATTCATGTAAAAACGTTTTGCAAAATAGCATTAGAAGGGAATACCCGTTTCCTGAAATCTACAACAAACTTACATAAATATGAAATGTTAGAAGCATCCCCGTTAAATTCAGGACCAAGACACAGATGTATTATACCATTTCTACTGTTTAAAAGTAGACTGGAATATATAGCCAGAACAATAAAAATATCAAAATACATAATAGGTAGGAATATCTAGAGACAGAGATAATAAACGGTGACAGTATTACTCTCTAATTAGAAAATCCAAAGGAACCAGTGCACAAAATACTGAAATGAGCAAGAGACTTCAGAAAGCTGTTGTGTATATCGCTACAGCAAAATCAGGATCTTAGCCACACAAAATCAGTAACTAATTAGGACAAGTAGCAGAACATATCTCAATCACAACAGAAGCAAATATCCAAAATTTACCTAAAAATAAACCTAACAACAAAAATGTACACAATCTCTCTTCTTTTTTTGTTTTGTGACCGGTAAGGGGATTATAATCCCCTTGGCTTGGTGTCGCTTGCACCACTCTCTGCCAGTAAGCACACCAGCCATCCCTATAGGGGATCCGAACCCACGACCTCAGCGCTTCCAGCACGGCACTCTCCCGAATGAGCCACAGGGTCGGCCCTGTATGCTGTCTTTTTTGAGGCAACTATAAGCACAGACAGGTAAAAGAAGTCCCAAGTAAATAGATCAGTACACTATGTTTACTCGTGGGGAAAAGAATATTGTAAAGATGTAAATTTTCTTTAAATTACTTACAGATTTACTGCTGCTATGGACTAAATTGTGTCCCCCTCCCCAATTCATGTTCTCTTACTATAAACGGGAGTCAAAAAATAAAGTCACTGCCCTGGACTGACCAATGATAGATAACATCAAAAGATCTGGGTCTCACAAACCGTGCAGCTCAGCCTCTTCCCCTTAGAAAGTAGATCGTTTAGAAGAAGGTTCCCCAAATTCATAAGTTTGGCTAGTGAACAGATTATATTGTCTGGTGTATTTTTTCTCTAACAATTTGCCACCTGTCCTGGGACCCTGCTTTGCATTGCAGCTTCCCCTTCTGCATCTAGCCCGAGAGTTTGGTCCATTCTCTGCAAGGTCTGCAGTAGGGAAACAGCTCAGTGCTTTCAAGGGACTTGGTCTTTCCCAAGAAGCCTGGATGAGCTTACAGAAAATTATTTAAGTGAAACAAGCCAGCCACAGAGGGAAAGATACTGCATATCCTCACTAATATGTGGGAGCTAAGAGAGAAAGAAGAAAGGAAAGAAAGACCACAGTAGTTCATTGGACTTGCAGAGGGAGAGAGCATACCTAGGGTTGCCAGGTGCGGAGGGGGAGAAGGGAAGAGGGGCTGGGGAGAGGGTGGGTGGAGGACACGGGGTATAAATGCAATTTGTGGTCATAGACATGCTGATAGTATTGACCTGTCATCACAGCTTGGGCACAGGTAGTGATGGTCAGCTTTGTACCCCAAGAATATGCATGATCAAAAAAAAAAAAAAAAAAAAGCAGCAGCAGCCGCCAAAACGAAGACACCCTGTTCCTCCTCCCCCACACAACGCCTAGATTTGACAGGACAACCCACTCCAGAACCAACGGCCCCGCACAGAGCCCCGCCCTTGCTTTCATTCCTGGAAGGCCCGGGGCAAAGCTGTCAGCATGAAATACCCCCTGACTTTCACCTCAAGGGTCTCAGAGAGATCAAACCCTCATCGGTGGAAGGAGAGCAGCCTCAAGTCTTCAGAGGAGAAAGGTGATGCGGAAAGACAAGGTGAGGACCCTCACCTGCAAGAACAGAGGACTCCCAGACTCGCAGAACCCCGCCCGCCCCCTCCGCCCCGCCCCCACCCCTCGGCACTAGGAGACGCTCCACGGCTGTTAGGCCCAACGGTGCTCCGTTCTGCGTCGGGACCTCCCGGAGTGAAGACTTTAAACTGGAGCTGGTGGACTCAGGTGAGTACAGGGGAAAATCCCAGAGTGAAGGAGAGGACCCTGAGTGAGGACTGAGTGTCTCTACAGCAGAGGGTGGCCACACAGCTCCCTGCCCCTGTGGCCGACCCTGGGATACCCCGGGCAGGGCTGTCAAGCGGAGGAGCCTCATTTTTCCCTGTGAGTGTTTCAGGAAGGTGGGGCCCTTGGTCTGATGGGGGTTAGCTTCTGAGCTGCAGCGGGAGGAGGTCCCGGCCGTGTCAACCGTTAACATGCTGATCCTGAACGTGAGACGACAGCTTGGCTTAAAACCAAGGTGGTCTCTTCCGGCAGAAGGGGCACACACTATCTCATTCCCCCTCTTCCAGGTGCCTACCTTACCTGATCTCCTACATACGCTCCCTGACCGGAAGCATCATGCCTCGGGGTCATAAAAGTAAGCTCCGTGCCCGTGAGAAACGCTGCCAGGTCCAGAGTGAGACTCAGAGTCTACAGAGAGCTCAGGTCATTGCAGCAGAGGAGGAAGAAGCCCCCTGTTCTTCCTCTTCTCCTTGTGGTGGTGATTCTCAGGGCTCCCCCGCTGCTGGGCCACGTGGCAAATCACGGAGGCCTGGGAGAGCTCCACCCACCACCGCTGCTTCTGCAGGTGCTTCATGCACAAGATCTGATGGAGGTGCCACGAGCCAAGGTGAGGAAAGACCAAGCACCTCCCAGGCACCACCTACCACTGATCATACGTGCAAAAGCCCTGTAGACGAGAAGGCGATTTTGTTGGTGTCGTTCATGTTACGCAAGTATAACCTGAGGCAGCCCATAACAAAGCAAGAGCTGCTGAAGTGTATCTCCAAAAAGTACAGGCAGCAGTTCCATGAGATCCTCAGGAGAGCCTCTGACCTTATGGTGCTGGCCTTTGGCATCGAAGTGAAGGAAGTCGACCCGACCAGGTCCCATTATATGCTTGTCAGCAAATTGCGTGTCACCGGTGATGCAAGGCGGAGTGCTGGGATGGGCCTTCTGATGACCATCCTGTGTGTGATCTTCATGAAGGACAATTGCGCCGCTGAAGAAGATATCTGGGAAGTGCTTAATGTGATGGAGATATATGACGGAAAGAAGCACGATTTCTACGGGGAGCCCAGGAAGCTCATCACCCAAGATCTGGTGAAGGATAGGTACCTGGAGTACCAGCAGGTGCCCAACAGTGATCCTCCACGCTATCAATTCCTGTGGGGTCCAAGAGCCCATGCTGAAACCAGCAAGATGGAAGTCCTGGAGTTTTTAGCTGGGATCCATAATACCGTTCCCAGTGCCTTCCCATCCTGGTATGAGGAGGCTTTGAGAGATGAGGAAGAAAGAGCCAGAGCCAGATTTGGAGCTATGCTTCTTAATAGTGCCATGGCCCATGCAAGTTCCAGGCTCGATTCCAGCAGTTTCTCCCACCCTTAGTGAAATCTGAGGCACTTTCCCCACTTTGTGTTTGAAAAATAGTGGGTGGCCAGGGCGGTGTTGGAGGGAGCACAGTACATATCATATCTGTATTCTTGTTCTGTGTGAGTAACTTTCAGATTTATCTTTTGTTGTTGTTGAGTTTTCAATTTTATTCTTTTAAAAAAATGTTTATTAGCTTCAGAATCTAAGTATATAAATAATACTGGTTATATATTTAATGTTGCTTATGAATCTTAAGAGTTAAGAGTTTTGCTATTTTATCAAATAAATTGGAAAACCCTCCATCTTATTTAGTGATCTGAAACAAACAAAACACATGGCACTGGAATAGGCATTTCTATAGAAATGTGAAAAAAATCAGCAAGAATGTAGTTAGAATTAAGAAATAGAGAAAAAAAAAGTAAAAGATGGTAAATTCTTGACTTCTCTTATTACTTCTCTTCTATTGTTCTGTAAAATAAAAGTTATATACCTGGATTTGCTTGGTTTATTCAAGGATGTAGAAAAAGTTAAATTATAATAAATTTGACTTCTTGTTCAGTGTCTTTTTTACTCCTCAAATACTAATTAAACATTTGCTCTTTGGAAAGCTCCATGGTAGTACCAGGGATGGTAAGAAAGAGAAGACCGAGCCACTGTCCATAGAATTTTAGTCTAGTGGCAGCTATCATGTAAGGGAGATGGTAAGTTATCCTTTAAGAAATAAAAGACAAGTGAAAAGGAGTGTGGTGGTGGGGGAGGGGGTGTGGAGTTGGAGGTGGGACTGTTCCAGACTAGAGCCATCTAGTATAATATGCCCAGAGGCAAGGAAATTTGGGGCCTTGGAAAACCTCAAGTCCCTCAATGGGAGGTAATGTGAAGTTAAACTGGGTGGTGGGTCAGAGGAGAGTATGGAAGGGGTGAGTAGGGGCTGGACTCTCCGGTGGGGTGTCTCAGAGTTGGGAGACTAAGCCTTTAATGGAGAACTGCTTTTAGCAGTTACTTTGGGAACATGGTTAAACCAGAGGGAATCTCCAACTGGGGCAGGGATGAAAAGTGTCCTGTGCTCTTGTCCCAGTGCAGGTGAACACAGTGAACAAGCTAACAGTTTTATCCACAACATTTCCAAAGAGTTTCTGAGAAGTGTGATACTCCCTTGAGGTGGGATACCCAGAAGCCACTGTGCTGACACTCCTTGCCTTGGGCTAGGGGAGTCATAGCCTGCTACATTAGAAGAGCATTTTAACAAAGTTATCATCAGCATAGTTTGGCAAACTCTAAGGGAGGGATTGGCTTGGGTAGGGGTTAAATGAATAAAAATAGGGGTGGTTTGGATCAAAGTGCAGCTGGGAGGGAGGGAAGGAGTTGGCTTTTGGCACACACTCTGGAAGCTTTGAGTTGCATCCAAAATGGAGAGGATTCCCCAACATCCAAATTAAATAATGTATTCTGTAAAGGGGAAGGTTTTACTGTTTTTTTTTTCTTTCTAGCAAGAATTTTTGACTAATTTGGTGTGCCGTGTCCTATAGCACTGCATATTCTTGCACATTTCCTGGATTAAAAGATAAATAAAAACAAACAAACAAAACCCATTCTAGCCAAAGGGATAGTTATCATCAGGGTTCCAAAAAAAACCCCATTATAGTAATAACTACCATTCCTTAAAATCTCAATGCACACTAGTCACTGTGCCGGGGACTTTACACACATTACACACATTCCAACAGTCCTAGAAGATCAGGATTATCAAACCCACTTCACTGATGGAGAACTTATGCTCATAAAATGTGGTAATGTCCCTAGTTCACACAACTAATAAGTGACAGGGCTGGGACTAGACCCCTGGTCTGAATTCCTCTAGAGCCCGCCCTTTTCCTCTCCTCCCAGCCTGAGGCAGATCTCGTGTCTATTAATTCATCTATCTTCTCAAATGTCTCTCAAGTGATAGGAAGTTCTCTGTGGCCGAAGCACCAAAAGCAGGCTTAAAGAAGCCAGGTGAAAATGAGCATCAAACACATTTTGGGACTGTCTGTGGGCCTCCTCTCCCAGGGGCCCTCCTGTCCCTAGCCCTGGGGGTCCTTGAGCACTGACTCTGCCCTCGTCCCAGCACGTGTGTCCAGGCCCAGCATTACAGGGTCTTCCCCACTGTGCCCTCCTGTCCAAACTGCAACTAACCCTGTGTCCAGCTCCACTGTCTCATTCTTTGGAGCCAGCACCTGCTCCCAGAGGAACAGGCAGCCCAGACTCACCTGCTTCTCCCTGACATAGAAGGTTCCAACTGCCTGTAGGGTCGTATCCTTCACCACGGACCCTTTCTGACAGCAACAGCCCCTTCCACATAATTGTTCACTTTGGACAGTGAAGCAAAGGCACCTCGTCATTCCTGTGGGTGCCTTCATCACACTCTCAAAGTGTTTTCAAACTCACTTTTGAGGAGAGTCCAAATTGGTGCAGAATGTACTGGTTCCTAGTTTATAACCCTGAAGTTAGAGAGGAGGTTTTGGAAACCACCCTGATATTTGAGGTCAGATTTTAATGGGGTTAATTTTTTGAGACTAGCCACCGAACCCATATACCAATAAGTGAGCTTACTTAGGTGGTCAGAATCCCCAGCCTCCCCCATAAGTAATCAATAAGGAAAGAACATGGAAGTCAGTGTGTAAGCAAACACCTACTGAGACAGAATCCCTAGAAACCCAGGAGCACTTTCAGGAGATTGAAAATGGTTCCATGGCAGATATGTTAGCTTCAGTAATAAAAATAAGATAATTCACTATTTTTCCATTGTCACTTGTCTCTCTGTTTACCCCTGAGGAAAATTTTGGTTTAGGTAACTGTGCAGATATTCTTGCTGCCCCCCGAATTCTAACAATATGAATAAATCACAATCCCCCTTCCTTAATACATTCCTCCAAGATTCATCCATCTCCTCAGAAGTAACCACAAGTGAAAATTTGTGTTACTTTAAATTTTATTCTAGGCTTTTCCTTCCACAGATGTGCTATAAAAAGTACATGGTAAGTTTTTTTTTTTTTCTTTTTGTCTTTTTTTCGTGCCCGGGAACGGATCGCAACCCTCAGTGTTGCACCCGCACCTCGCTCAGCCAGCGAGCGGGAACCGGTCCGTATGTGGGATCCGAACCCTCGGCAGGAGGGCCGCCGCGCTCCCAAGTGGCGCACTGCTACAGTGCACTGCTACAGTGCGCCACCGGGCCGGCCCCTACATGGTAAGTTTTTAACACGCATGGATAACGCTGTGCATACTGCCCTTCCTCTTGCCCTTGTCACAATAAAATGCTTGCCGGGTCTTTCTATGAGAGCACATGTAGAACCAAATCACTCTTAACACCTTAGAGTTCATAAGTGTGCATGTGCCATAATTAATTTAACCAATCTCCTAAGGCAGATTTCGTGTCTATTAATTCTTTTCTGATAGACGATTAAGTTGTTTCCCATTGTGGCTACGATTAACTGAACTGATATCAACATCACTGAACATGAATTCTTGGGAAAAATATGCGTATTTTCTTATAGGAAAGACATAGCAAAGTGCAAGGTGGATTAAAGTGAAAAAAAGATGATGAATGTAAACATTATTAATATTTCTAAAACTCTAATATTTCTAATATTTCTAATATTTCAATAAAGCTGTACCAATTCATATTCTTACATACAAATTTGTGTGAATAATCTATACCCTCACTGGCATTTTATTTAATCAACCTTTTAAATTTTGGTCAAACTTTTGGATGAAAATATATTGTCTCACTGTTATTTTAATTTTTTTGTTTTCTAAGTAGGATGAGCAGAAAATTAGCTTAATTTCTCATCCGTAGAAAGCAGGATTTCTTCAGTGATGTCTTGATTACCAGGATTCCTCTGGGCAGGCCTGAAAATTCTGAAATGTCAATAAGATATTCCCCTTTACACTGAGGAGGAAAGATTTGATCACAATGACCAGATACCAGAGAATGGGTCCATGCAGGACACCCTCATCTAGTGAAGACCATCAAGAAGATAGAGCAATTTCCACAGTCCATTGGAGGGATCACTAAGTCTAAGAGAGCACAGGTCCCTGAAACCTGGGATTCTCAGACACACCCTGTATCTAACTGTTATACAGTGCTTCTCAATATTTTAGATGTAGGACCTCTTATTCCAATTCAAGCCTTCCCCAGAAATCCAACCGTTGCTTTGAAAGCAGAAAAGTCTGGATGAAGAGGGAACTGCAAGCCCATTATCCTGACAGTCAGTGCCCTTCCATCTCTCTCAGGCCAGTGGTCCCTGAAACCCACACCTCTCTGGGGTTTCCTGAGTACTCCTGGGACAGCTCAGTGCTAGAAGACCCCTCCTCAGACATGGTTGCAAAGATAACTTTTTTCTTTTTTCTCTGGCTGGGTATATGTTTAACTTTATGGGAAAGTGCAAGAAAATTCCCAAAGTGGTCGCAACATTTTGTGCTCATACAAAGTATCAGTGTTTTGAGTGATTCGTATCCTCACTAACATTTTATGTCATCAATCTTTTCAATTTTAGCCATTTTAGTAGGTGGATAGTGTTGTTTTATTGTGGTTTGAATTTGAATATTCCTTCTGTGCTTGAATATCTTTTATTATTGAGTTGTTGAAGTTGTTTACATACTCTGGATATAAGTCCTTTGTCAGATATATGTGCTATCCATATCTTATTTGTCTCTGGCTTTTTAAATTAATTTTCTCAATTATATATTTTGTTGAGCATCTTTTAAAAATTTTGTTTAATTATGTTTTATCCTCTTTATTGTTAGTATTTTATGGCTTCTGTTAAAAAGGTCTTTGACTACTCACCGATCATGAAGATATTCCGCTATGTTGTATTTTAGAAGTTTTAATTTTAACTGTTAGTTTTAGATCTATGATGTAACACAAATTAAGTTTCTGTATTGAGTTAGGTAGTGGACGGGTTTCACATTCATCAAGTTATTACAACACCATTTTTTGAAAAGATTTTCATTTCCCCATTAAATTCATTTGCTACTTTGATGGAAAGTTAGTAAATCATACAAATTTGATTCTATTTCTGGATTCTCTGTTTTACTAATATATTTGTCTATCTTTAGGACAATTACTGACTTGATTACTGTAACTTCATTGTAAATATTAAAATCAAATGGTATAAATACACTAACTTTATTTTTCTTTTTCAAGACTCATTTCTGCTGATTTTTATATAAATTTTAAAATCAGCTTGTTGACTTCCATAATAAAAGCCAGCTATAATTTTGATAAGAAATATTCTGACTCTATGGAATAATTTTGTTTCCTTCAATATTTTTTCATTTTCCTTTAAGTGCTCGAGTACATTTGTAATAGGTTGCTTCAAAGTCCTTATCTATTTCCATCATTTTTGATTTTTCTCCTGATTACAAGTTATTTTTTCCTGTTATGGATGATATTTTCCTGCTTCTTTGCATACCTAGTAATTTTTTTTTATTGTATCCTCTT